GATTAATTTGTCAACTTAAGTTTGGCAATCAATATTGCTCTCATAAGGATACAGGAGGTAGAGCAGGACAGAAGGCAAGGTAAGAAATGTCAAATTACTCTCCAGAGTCACACAAGGGACAAGCAGGGTATGAGCCAAGTTAATTCTGTGAAGGTGTTTTCGGACACAATCATGGCAGAAAATAGCAATAACAGTGCCGCCGATGTGTCAGGAGGCTACTCGGGAATATCTTGAACATGAAACAGGGCTTTTGACCACTTCTAGTGACAATGTCCCAAGAGAAGAACTCATTATGTCCTTTTAATTATTGTCTTTATAGATTGGTAGGCCAGTTTCTAGCTATTTGACTGTAAAACAGATGTCCCCTTTTTTGCCAGAAAGTCAGTAGTCTTGTTCCCCTCGATTCTGCAGTGGTCCGGGATCCATATAAGCATTCTGTACTGCGCCACACGCATAAGGGAAAAATTCGTACTTGTGATTGAACATACTTTCCGATGACATCATTTTCTCTTGGCATAATGACGTTTAGGCGGCATTCATACGGTTTTGTTTTCATTGAATGACACGTATGAGTTAAACGGAAGTCTGGAAATTATCGTTTATTTTCTTTGAAACGAAAAAAATTTAACGGCAGCGTTCTGCAGATGGCTTCCTGTTTCATGAAATATTAAAATTGTAAAATATTTCAAAGATGCTGTTAATATCAGAGGCAATCTTAAACGTTTAGATAATATAAATAGCTGAGTTCATGAATTTAGTGCAAAAACCAAAGCGCTATGATCTCGGTCCAGTTATATAAAGGCATTGTGTGCTATTAAGTATATTGTTATTATTGCAGTTTTGTTGCATTCTGTTCTTTTCACATTGGAGAAAATATTTCCTCTGCAAATGTTACATTATTTCTATGTTAACGTCCATATCATTTCTAAAATTCTGTTCCCTTAGATGAAAGAAAAAAGTGCATTCAGTATTGTCGCTGAATTTGATATATGTGTATAAGAAAAGAAACTTCCTTATCTGATAAACACAAATTTTATGCAAGGGTACAAAAGATGCTACACATTAAAAAATGGGTAATATTCATAAAGTAATATTTTTAAATTTTAAATACGTATCTATTTCTCTGTTCCTAATCTATAATAGTGTAACTTCAAAATTAAATTTTACTTATTCAGACTGGTTATAAATATTGTGAATTTACTATGTTAACTCCCAAAGATGCTTTTACTACTTCCAAAAAATGACTTGAACCATGTTTTTGGAGATTGCGTCTGCAGAAAATGGATATGATCCGGACTCATCGGGACTTCGGCGATTCCGGATTATACATCATCAGTTTAAATCTGGTAAGATGCCATGCAGAAATTATAAAATTAAAAATATGAAACCATGATTTATGAAATAAAGAGCAATTATGATCTAAAGGGTATCAAAATTTACAAAAAAAAAAAAAAAAAAAAAAAAAAAAAGCTTAATACTTTTTTCTTTACTTTATTAAACATTTCTTCCAATGCATAAAGCATACATTACGCATAGTCGAAATTAGAAAATTGCAACCAGAAAACTGTTTGATGTGTATTCATGATATTTACAAAGATGAGGAATTTGATTTAAATCATATCAAAGACGGAGTACATCGAGATGAAATACAACATTCAGTAAGGAATTATAAGCCAAATAAAACAAAAACATCTGCCCTGAAGATGAGGATAGTGCTGACAGCTCAACTTCCAGTTCATTGCGCGAGGCGACATTCCCCTCCCTTCCGCAGAGCAGCGTGAAATTGATAAACAGATTTCGGAATGGTTAGAGAAACAAAGGATATGCCTGTATCCATTTTTTGCAGCAATTCCACTTTTTGTTTGATGGACATCGAAACATGCTTTCGCTTTGTAGATCCTTTGGCAGCTCCAGAATTGGAAACTCTTTTTGGCATAATCAAAAGTACAATCTTACTTTTATAAAATTGCTCTAACAGTCTGCAAAAAATAATAAGCCGGATCCAATTAGAAGATTAAGGAACAACGCAATCTGCAACATTAACTGAAATAGATAATTAGATAATTTTAGCTTAGCTTATACCATCCGTTATACATTAAATGTGCATGCGTAAACATATTATGCGCATGCGTAAACGCATTAATGTGTTTACGCATGTGCAGAAAGTTTGTAGCTTTGAGGTCCGGATTATAGATCATTCCAGATTATGGACGTACGGATTAAAGACTTTTGACTGTATAATGAACATGAAATAATGATAACATCTTTAACAAAGTGTTTTAAATTAAGAGTACATTTATTAACAATCTCTGTACTTAATGCACATTTACGGAGGTAGCACAGGAAGAAATAAAAAAAATTCTCTCTAGGAAAAAAAATCAGTGCATTTTTTATATTAAATTCACCACACAAAGGCGTTGTGAGAAGTGTAATCTCATAGCACAAAAATACAAAGCACATAATAATCTTTTGGGTTCTGCTATCAAAATTTAAACAAACTTTATGGAGGTTTACCTCACGCCCAAGCAAAGTCAAGGCACTCCTAAGCGTAGAAGAAATGATGTCATTGGGAGCCATATCCAATCACAAGGAGGGATTTTTTCCCTATTTGCTTGGTGCGGTACAGAATGCTTATATGTGGCTGGGATACACTGCAAGACAACTGTTCCATTATAACCTGATAAACATGAAAAAAAATTGATACAATCAATCGATATCTTTTTACGGGATGGACCAGCAGAGTTTATGCCCTGAAGAGCTCCTGTCGAGTCTGAGACAATCACCACTTCAGAAAAACATTCTGTGTTGAAGTGCAACATAGGTTTACCTCCTTGTGGTGCACTCCGGACAACATCTTGTACAGCAAAATGGTCTACAAACAAGGCATTCACCTGGCTTACATTCATGAAGATGAGTTATTTTTTAATACTTTGCCAACATGCAAGCATAAAATTGATTGGAAAAAAAAATGTATAGATTTTTTCTTTTTTTTTTTTCTTTCTGGGATTGGGCTTGTGTGCTCATCAGTAGAGATGATTAGAGAGCTATGGCACCTGATGTTAACTGGATTCATTGTTTTGTTCACAGGAAAGTCTTGACAGCCAAAGGTGTCATGAAAATTCAAAACCGTATTAAAATATAGCATTAAATTAGTCAAGGCAGACCCTGACAGAATATTTTTATTACTTTGTGATGACATGGGTAGTGAGCTCAAACAGCTTCTTCTTGATTCCAAACTTGCTAGCTTTCATGGGGTAAAGTATTGATAAGGCTGTTTTGAGTTAGACAAGATGTCATGATATTTGTAAATGAAATTAAGGATAATTTAACATTATTTTTTGTTAATGGCACTTGTACGTTAGTATATCTTTCAGATGTATTTTCAAAACTCTAAGTTTCTGTCTGCAAGGTAATTCTTTGACTGTTCTCAGTGCCAATAAAGGGGTTTGAGAAACTTGATCTGTGGGTTATTTATGTAAAATAAAGTAATATTTCACCAATATCAACCTTAGAATCCTTTTTAGTCAAAAATGATACCTTTATTGCAAAAGAATTATCAATAACAATAACGTTCACATTCTGAAACTCTGAGGTTACAATTTGACACCTGTTTTTCAAATAGGAAATGTAACTAATTTTCATGGGTTCGTGATCCTTTCCATTGCAAAATTGGAAACAACAAGCTGTCATTTACAAAACAACAAACAGTTAACTGAACTTTTGAATGACACCAGACTTAAAATGCTATTGCAAACAAAAGGTATGATTAATTTCTGGATCTGATTACCAGTGAATACAGAATATAGTGACAATAGTGCTTTAAAAATTATAATATAGTTTGTTTCAATGTATCTGAGTGACAAAGGGTTTTTATCACTAATTCAAATAAAAATGTAGTATGGAAATTGATTTAATGGTGCCAGTCTAAGACGTAAGCTTGCTGGCATGCATAAACACATAGAACAGCTTTGCAAAAATCGGCAGACTTGTCCATCTCATTAATGTCAGTGCCAACATTTATTTAATTTTTAGTTAATAAAGATCATTCAAATTCTAATACCCTTAAATTAGTAAAAGACTAATAATAAATTTTCTTATTAATTTAATTACTTAATGCCAATGTAATATAAAATGAATTTTAATTAATTCCATTTTTAAAATGTACTGGTAGTAACATATGCTAAAAAATTGCTTTTGAAGTAGCCAAGAGTAAGGTGGTCTGCAGAACATTCTAATTCGTAAAACCAGTACCCACTTGAAAAACATTTTTAAAACTCTGATCCAGGATAATCTGCATGTAAAGCAATTATTTTCCATATTGTCTATTATTTTGCTGTATTAAAATATCCTACGTGTTTCAAGATCAGCATGGTAGTTCACTAATCTGAAAATATCATGTCTTTCTTATTCAAAAATGTGTTGCATGTCCTCCTGAATATTTTTTCTTCTCATATCAATTATCTGTATTTGCTGTGTGAGCCATTAAAAAATATTGCATTTTAAATTTTGAAGGATAAATAAATTTCTATCTTAATAATAGGAAATATTAAAGGGGTACAATCTTTCAGCTTTACCATCAAAAGAGGCTTGGCTTATTTGATTATGGCAAAGCATAAAAGTGCTATCTGCCTAAGGTCAGGGATTCCTTCACAAAGGACTTTCTAATCAAAACTGGCTTGTACTTACATTGCACATGGGGTAAACTATGAAATTGCTCATGTAGCCACCCTAGTTGCCAAGACTTGAGCCTGATCAAACTACTAGTGTGTATCGACTGTACCACTGAACTACTCCTCTACCCCATCAGAGAGGAAACACTAGAATTCACTGTGAATGTGTTCCTGGTAAAAACTGAATTTAGAGTATTCTTCCCTCCATTTGCCTGTAGTTTATTTTTGAAGTTCTAGATATTATTTTGTACGCCAGTGTTATCTTGTGTCATGCATTTTGTTGTGCATTCCGTCGTTTCCTGCTAATAATTATTCTGTTTTTGTACTTAGGGTTTGGAGTTGACCAGTTGCGTGACAATTGTTTGGAAACTTATTGGCAATCAGATGGACCTCAGCCTCATTTGGTAAACATACAGTTTCGTAAAAAGACTACCATACAAGATGTTTGCCTGTATGCTGATTACAAACTGGATGAAAGCTATACACCAAACAAGTTTGTGTTCTTATTTATCTGTGTATTTTTGTTTATCAAATTTTTTGATTACAGTAGTACTAATATAATCACTAGAAATATTTAATGGTGTGTTACCTGATTATGTAATTACATTACATGCTTTTATGAAATAATTTGTTGAAGTCTGCATGTCCATAATTTTAAAATGTAATATTGTCTTTTGATTCTGAAAAAATATTTCTGTAAATATGTATAATTAACAGATTAAATTAGGCTGAAATTTTCTGATAAATATTAATTAAAGGATATTGTGCTATGTGTAATTTGTGTCAATACTGCTGTTTTTTAGAATCTCTGTCAGAGCTGGTACTCACTTCCATGATCTTCAAGAAGTAGAAGTGATGGAATTGAACGAACCTTCTGGTTGGGTCAGGATTCCACTTAAGGATGTTTTAGATCAGCCAATTCGAACTTATTTAGTTCAGATTGCTGTTCTCTCTAATCATCAAAATGGTCGTGATACTCACCTGAGACAAATTCGAGTGCATTCACCTGTGGAAAATAACTGTTTTGCTGCTATTAAGTTCCCAATGCTTACGAGTATTGAGTGCTTGGCATATAGTAATATCAGATAAAAGTAATTGGATTGTATTGCAACATCTGGTATCTTATGCATATTCATAATCATTTTCAAATTTATTTTATATGTCTTTTTTTTACAGTTCATCATTTTCTTTTAATCTTTTAAATAAAATAAACAGTTCATAAATCAAAATTTGTAGTGTTTCTTGCTATGTTAACTGTCATCTACATAAAATAAAGCTAATTAAAAAAAATCAGTATTTCTAGCAGACCTTGCAGCACATGTTATATTACACATTCTAACTTCTTAAACATCACTTGTTTCAAATAAGGGAGTCAAAATCCTATCTCCCCTTCACATTTCTTATAAACCTTAAACACCAAGCAACAACTATCTGCAACTTGCTCCAAGCTGAAAATTTGCTCCAAAGCTGTTTAACTAATTCCAACTGAACTGCAAAACATTTGACCGATTGTTTCTTTACTCTCTTAGTATTTCTGTATTGAATACATTTGCTAACCCTCTTACCTATTCTTTAGACCAGGGCTTCTTAGTGTAGGCCCACCAGCGGCCGAGTGGTAAAGACGCTGAACACTGGTAGTTCGGTCCGCGGTTCGAATCCCGCGAACAGGCTGGCTGCATGGGTGTTTTCGTGGTTTTCCCCATGTGTAACGTGTATACGAGCCAGTTTCCCTTAGAAAGTTCTCCACGAAGGCATACCTCCCTTTAGGCAGATAGCCCTCGTGTGCTTTGCCATAATTAAATATTCCAATCTTAAACTGTAAGTCGCAACTCCGATAGGGGTCACTAAAAACTTTAGTAGTTTTGATATTTCTTTCACATATTATAATAATTGTACAATTACCAAATATTTTTACACAATATATCTGAAAATAGATAAAGGTAAAACAATACAGACAAAGAAAAAAATGAAAACTTTTCGACGCATTCTTTCCATAATATAAATGTTCATTTTACTTGTTTTGCACGTGACGCTGTCATTTCATCAGTTACTTATTTAAAATTTTCACATTGTTCTATGTCTTAAAATTAGAAATTAAAATTAGTGACCTAAAACTGCAATATTATATTAGAGTACATGTGAAAAAATTGACAGTTTCACTCACGCGTATTTCGGATTTGCGCGGTGCTTATAGGGGTCTCACAAAATTTTCATAAGTATTATGGGATCCTGGAGTCGCGAAAAAATCTCTGTAATAAAAAAAGGGTTGCGAGTGAAAAGTTTAAGAAGCCCTGCTATACACAAACCAGCTTTCAGGATTATTTGCTGACCAAAAAAAAAAAAAAAAAAATCTCTATGATTAATCCCCAAATTTCTCTTCTTTGAATTAAAAATGAAACAGATTAAAGAAATTAAATCTCTACAGCTATGGCAGCTGTCGCTGTCTTCCAAAAGAATGCTAATTAAAGAAATTTTCTGATGGGTGCAAGATGCTACTGTATGGCTTTTCATGTAATATTCTTGCCCCTTCAGAAAGATACAACTACATTATGTATTTCTGAAACCTTAACACGTTGAGCGCCACGCGTATTTTATAGGCAATCCTGTTCAGGCCACTCGCACCGCTTAAAAGCTCTGGTATTGTCAGTGATTCTTATCGCAATAGAATATAGTTTACGTCTGGAACGTGATTCTTATAGGCATTCAATCAACATGTTATGCTCCAAGTCTGTTTTGTTTTCTTTACCGTTTGGCCAACTAAATTAGATTTTATCGAAATGGATTCGTGGCCGGTATTCTTTTTACAACAAACCAGTTCATTGCAGTTCTTAGCCCCGTGCAGACAAAAATTTTCTTTAGCCCTGAGCATCAAAATGTCAGTCTGAGAGTTTGAAAGCGATAGCAGCAGTGAAATTATTCTTGCTAGAAAATGGCCCAGAGTGGATGTATTTTTATCATCTTCTAAAGAGGAGAAAGAGATTGTTGGAGAATGGCGGCCAAAACGAAAAGTCTAGTGTCAGCCACAGATGGCTGACATGGCCTAAACAGAAAGTCTAGTGTCAGCCACAGATGGCTGACATGGCCTAAATGGAAAGTCTAGTGTCAGCTACAGATGGCTGACGTGGCGCTCAACGTTTTAAGTAAGGTTTACAGAACACAGCATTTCCCTTTTCCTAGAAACTTTATATTGACATTGAATTTTCATCTAATAGAAACAGGACTTGATTATATAATATGTTTTGTGAAGCTATTAGTTATTTCAGATTAGATTATAAAGCAAAAATAAGAAATTTTAGCTAGTAGCAAAAGTTTTGAATTTTTCGAAAATTTGGTGTTTTTCTAATGAAAATGTAAAATATAAAGCAGTTAAACTTAACACATATGAAACATGTTTTTAGGTCCATCAAAGATTAAAAAGAAAATTTATTTATGTGTTATAACAAGAACAAAAATGCCTCATCTGTTCATCTAAAATTGGATAACACTGAAAACATTTAATCTGGCCAAAAGTACCCTCATGCTTGATGGTTAACTATATTTTTTGCCTCTTGTATAAATGTGGTATAATTATACAAGCAAGGCATGAAAGATACATGACAATTTTCATGGTTTTTGCAATTCATGTTAAAATTTAAAGATTATTACCACTTTCCACTCTCGATTCCTTTTTCTCAGTGAAATGTTTTGAAGACCCCAGATATTAAATAGAGAATTAAATTATGTTTTTCCATAAGTAACTAATTTACTATTAAACAACATCCTTGTTTAAAAGACATTTTAGCATTTGTTTCAAGTACACAAAAATTAAAGAAAATAACATTTTAATGAGACGAGTACTTGTTTTTTACAGCATAACAAATTAAATCTTGATGCAATATTTGACATTGCTGGATGTTAAGCATCTTCAGCCTTTTTTAGCTTTGAAAGAAATTTTGATTTGATAAGCACTAAAACTGAAGAAATCATTTCACAAATGTATGACGCCTAATGGCAAGATTTAATATCATTTCTGAAATTCACTTCTAGCTCTGATCCAGAATTCAGTCAAGGATTTTTGTTGATACTCAGGTTTTGAATCACTCGATAGCTGAACAAATTCCTTTTGGGCTTTATATTACATCTGATTAATATCCATTAATGTAATTTTTTTAAAGTTTCATTAATATATATATTTTTTAATTCATGTGTTTGAATTAAATTTTCACCAAATATACATTTCACTTTGCTACTCCATTTGGGGTCGCAACCCATAATTTAAGAAATCCTGCCTTAGGACATTAATATATTAATTAAGAAATTTTGATTTAATAAGCACTAAAATTGAAAAAGTCATTTCACAAAAATATGACGCCTAATGGCAACATTTAATATTTTTGAAATTCACTTCTAGCTCTGATCCAGAATTCAGTCAAGAATTTTTGTTGATACTTAGGTTTTGAATCACTTGATAGCTGAACAAATTCCTTTTGAGCTTTATATTACATATGATTAATCTGATTAGTATCCATTAATGTAATTTGTTTAAAGTTTCATTAATATATATATATATTAATTCATGTGTTTGAATTAAATTTTCATCACCTTGACATTTCACTTTGCTACTCCATTTGGGGTCGCAACTCACAATTTAAGAAATCCTGCCTTAGGGCATTAATTTGGAACATGACTTAAAACTTTGATTAAATTCAGACCCTCTGCATTATCTAATATATATTCGGGACCGGCTGCAAAGTATTTGGTGCCCTGTGTGAAATTACTTTGGTGCCCTCCCTCTCTTCCTATAGGTATATTGTATATTGGTATGTATGCTTAACCCTTAGTAGGATCAACGTATACAAATATTTGTTCGATGTAATGTATATTTAAAATGGAGTAGGAATAAAATGTTGTTTGGCGTCAAAAATCGTAGATAGCGCGCTGTTGTTTCATGTCATCTGAGCTTGTTAGATCCTAAGGTTTGGTTTATTTAATTATGGCAAAGCACATAAGGACTATCTGCCTAAGAGGGAGCATGCCTTCATGGACGAATTTCTAAGGTAAACTGGTATGTATACACATTACACATGGGGGAAGAAAACCACAAAAACACCCATGCAGGCAGCCAGTTCATCAGAATTCGAACCCTGGACCGAAATACCATGGTTCACAATCTTTACCACTCGGCTGTTCCTTGGAATATAAAGAGGAATATAGTGTGCAAATTCAAAGTAAGAAGTCAGTGAAATCCTGTTATACTTAAAGGCTTATAACTGTTTTCATAATACTCAAAATCAAATGCTATATATAAGGATTTTCAGGCAAAAATCCACATAAAATATATCTGCATATGTATAATATTCTTTAAACATTTTCAGGCAAAAATCAACATAGACTATATCTGCATATGTATAATTTTCTTTAAAATTATTTTATGGTTGACCAAGGTTACTAAAACATTTAGTTACAATTAATTAAGACAATCCAACTATAATACTACTATATTATTTATTTCAAAATTATTTACATATTAGAAAAGATATTCAATCATAGTGTAGCCTTAATTTAAGAGGTGTGTAGAAAAAAGTCTTGAGTTTTTTAATAAAGTGTAAAATATCAAGAGCACTCATTTTGCCTGTATTTCGGAAAAAATTTCGATGCTCATCGATTTAAAGCACAATGCACTTCCATTGATGCCTGATTCAGATCATGCAGTTAAAACTAACTGAAGATCTAAACATTGTTCAAGTCCTTTTCTGTTCAGTCAAGTCTTTGTATTGTACAAAAAACACCAAGAAACAAGTGCAGATATTTAACTCATAATATAGGGTGGCCCAGAAGTCACTTTACATTTTGAAAATTAAATAACTTTTTTCCTATTAATATATTTCTTTTTCTCTTTTCAGAATTAAAAAATATATCCCTGGAATTTTTGACATGGATAATTTTCAACAGAACAACGAGTGAAGATAATTGAATTTTACTTTTAATAATTAAAATTTTACTGCTGAGAAATATCGAGACATGCTAGCGAATTTTGTTCAACCTCAGTTAGTAAACATGGCAGGGTATTGGTGGCAACAAGATGGAGCAACTGCACATACTGCTAGAGCCATAATGCAGTTTGTTAACTGCAATGTTTCAGGATCTCTCTAAATCCGATTTTGATGGCCTCCACGTTCTCCTGATTTGACAGCTCCGGACTTTGGCTTTGGCGATATCTTAAAACAAAGTGTATGCAAATAAGCCCCGA